GAATAATGACCTGAAAATCAGTAGATCGGGGTTCAAATTTTGGCTCTACCTTAAGCTTACTCTGTGACTAGAGGCAAATCACTTCCCCAATTCCCTGGGGAGTTGTAAAAAATAAGGAAGCGGGATTAGACAATCTCTATGGGTGCTTCCAATTCTGAGACTTGAATGCTATGATGCTATGAGTATCTTAACTCCTCGCCTCTAACAGGGATGCCTCTCCCCTGGGTCTCACTAGCTCTGATCTGACCTCCCAAGTAGCAAGAACGACTTGGAGTGGGAGTGTCTGATTTGTGGGTTATAGAGGTGTCCCAGCCACTGAGAGAAGGAGCCCAGAAGATGAAGGGACAAGTTCTTGGGATTGGGGTGGAGGAAGTGGATAGTGGGGGTCCTAAGAAGTTTTTCCCTCATTGTCTATCCCCTGGGACTCTTGGTCAGTGGCCCTGAGAGTACCCAGCCCCAGGTTTCAGGGGAGAAAGGGGGAGCATCTAGAAGGGACAAGGAATAGACTCCTTTTCCTTATTGTATTCTCTTTGGACTCTCCCCTTTCCCTGTTTTCCCTCCCCCTTTGTTTCCTCCTCCCACTCCAATCTCCCTCTTTCCCCCTCCCTGAGTGGCAGGAAACTCCCACCAAAAGTCCCCCTGAAGGGCAATCCTCATGGGACAAAGAAACTCAACCCATGCCCCATTCCTATTCCCGTGGGGAGACTGATACCCACAGGCAGCCCTGGAAGAACCCAAGAGTCCTGGACCCCATCCACCAGGCCAGGCTTATAGTATCTTCAAGACTCACTTGTTTTATTAAGTAGAATGTCGAGTAAAATCTGACATAGATCCAGCCTCACACCTCCTTCCCCACACTCCCCAAGTTTGTCCATGGAGGGGCCAGGGCATGAGGTCACTAAATGAAACTCTGGAATCCTGGTCAGGCAGAACCCTGTGTCATTCAAGGAAGACAAAGATCTCCTGTTTCTGTTGCCTCTTCAGACCTGTTCAGTAGTGGGAAGAGCTTTGGATTAAGAAGAGTCAGAAGACCTGGGCTTGGGCCCCTGGCTCTCCTAACGACTAGCTGTATGACCTTAGACAAGTCATTTCCCTTCTTTGGGTCTCTCAGTTTCCTCCTTTGTAAAATGAGGGCGTTGGATTAGTTCCTTCCAGCTCTCTGATTTAATCCTTAGTTTTTTTTTTCATTTGGCTTTGGGAACCAAACCACTTGCTGTCCCCCATCTTCACCCAGGGGAGAGTCCTACCCTCTGCCACCTTTGGTACCCTTTCTCTCAGAGACCCAGTCTGCTGGGGACAGATTGAGCAGGGTATCTTCACCTGAAGAGGATCAAATGACTCCAGCCCTCAGGTAAGAGTCCATTCTTTAGCATGTCCTTGCATGAAGTGGTGGGAGAGCCTGTCTGGCTGTACAAGGGAAGAAGCAAAAGACCGGAAGGGAAACTTCATTCAAAGAAGAACATGCCTGGGGTCCGATAGAGGCAGTGGGGTAGCCCTAGCTGGTAGCTTCCTCCTCCCTGGAGTGGGAATGGCCCTCCAGTCCAGGGCTCCTTCTGGTTCCCCCGAAGGGGTAGTGGGGATTGAAAGGGAGGTGACTGAGTGGGGGTGGCTGGGGCAGCTGGAGTGGGTGCAAGCAGATGATCCAGGGCTGGGCCACAGCCCCGCTCGTCCATGCAGAAGCTCAGGGCTTGCACACGGCACTGGTAGCTGCCACCCAGAGCTTCAGCCCCACCAAAGTTGCCAAAGATGGGCAGCCCTGCCTTGCCATAGGCCTCACCCTCAGGGAATCGGGCTGGGGAGGGCTGAGGGCCCTGAGAGGCAGGGAAGACTGGGGGCAGGCTGAATGCTGGGCATGGAGAGGCAGAAGAGGAAGAGGAGGAGGAGGAGGAGGGCGGCAGCTCTCGAGGGTCCACCCTCTGTCCAGGAGACCTGGCTGGTTCAGGAGGCTCCTTCAGGTCCATCAGCATCTGTGAGGCTGGCAGAGCCAGTGGCTCAGAAGTGGAAAGGTAGAGACCAGCTGGGGTCGAAGGGAGAGCATCAGTAAGTCCCCCAAAGAGGCTCTCATTGGGTGATGTCTCTGAATTGGTGTGGCATAGGCCCTGGGACTCGGGCAGCTCCAGTGGTGGTGCTAAGCATGGTTCAGTGGTGGCCTTGGCCTGGCCAGAGGCCCCCTCCTGCTCTCGGGCATCACTATGAGGGTCTGGAATCCCAGAGGACCGATAGCCCCCACGACCCGACCCACCACGGGCTCTGCTCTTGGCCTTCCTCTGGGTCTCAGTGTCAGGCTCAGACCCCCTCTTGCGGGTGAAGCGGCGCCTCCGTCGCAGGAAGCTGCCATTCTCAAACATGTTGTAGCTGTCAGGGTCCAGGGTCCAGTAGCTGCCCTTGCCAGGTCTTCGGTCATCTCGGGGCACCTTGACAAAGCACTCGTTGAGGGACAGGTTGTGCCGGATGCTGTTCTGCCAGCCAGGACGGTTGTCTCGATAGAAGGCAAAGCGGCCCATGATGTAGTGGTAGATGGCACTGAGGGTGGCTCTCTGACCGGGGGAGCTCTGGATGGCCATGGTGATGAGGGCAATGTAGCTGTAGGGGGGCTTGGCTAGCTCCCCAGGACGGCTGGGACCCGGGTCCTGGCCTTGCCGGCTGGGAGCTGAATCCCGGCCCTGGCCATTCCCGGGCCCCCGTGGAGCGGGACAGTCAGGCTGCATCTCTTTCCTTTCCCAGAGGCCTTCACCGCCAAAAGCCGGTCAGGAGCCTCCTCCAGCTGGTTAAAAGCCCTCAGCCAGCCCAGCCCCTGTGGCCTGGAAAGGCTAGAGGGGAGGGATCAGGCCGCTCTACCCCCACCCCTTTCCCACCCAGCTGCCAGTCCCGATCAGAGGCAGCACTTCTCCTGGGGGCCTAGGGAGGGGCCAAGCTTTGGCCCAGCCCCAACAGGCTTCAGGGCTGAGGGTCCCAGGGGAAGGAGAACAGGAGGATGAGGCAGAGGCTGGGTTGGCTGGGCAGAACTGAAAAAAGAAATGCAAAGTTGGACTAGAGATTCTCAGCTGCCTCCTTATCCTGCTTCTCTCCCCTCTCCTTCCTCGAACTTTCTTACGGCCTCTCCTCCACCTCCATATATGTCTCAGCACTTTTCTTCCCATTAAATCTTAGCTATGCTCAGAGCTCTCCTATTTGCCTTCTGTCTGTCCCCATATTATCTTTGCCTCCCCTATTCATTTCCCTGTTTTTCTTCTCTCCTTTTCTCTCTTGCCTTCTTCCTTCTTATCTTTCTTTTCCCTATTCTCTCTCACCATCTCCCTTCTCTTCATATTTCTTCTCCAGTCACCCTACTCTCCCTTGAGTACTTCATCCTTTCCCCTTTTCAAACAAGGGCCCAACTGTTCTTGTCCCTCGTGGGGAGAAGATGAGAGTGTGAGAATGAAGGGAAAATAAACTGGGTGGGTGGGGGGAGATTATAAAGATGGAGGGGCCTCTGGGGGAACTGTTGGGAAGGAAGGAAGAATAAGGGTTGTGAGGAAGGAGAGGGAGGAGTGTGGGCTGTGAGGCAGAGAGGGGAGAATGAGGAGGTGCGGAAGGAGGGGGAGGAATGAGGGCCAAGAGCCAGAGAGGGGAGGTAGGAGAGGTGGGAAAGGAGAGAGAAGAGGGCTGTGAGGCTGGGGAGGAGGATGGGGGCCGTTGGGAGGGAGGAGGAGAAAGGATGGGCGTGGGGAAGCCCCTGGCCCTTGCAGAGGAAGGATGTGGGGGAGACTTCAGTAAGTACAGCTCCTAGGCCCTAGCTCCCTCTGCTGAGCTTTGAAGAAAAGTCTGTCTTGCTGGGCTGAGTCACGTTTTCTCCTTTCAACCTGCCCTAGGCCTTTGTAGATCTTGGGTAGAGAGTGCAGGGTGACCTATTCAACTTTAAGGTTGATCAGTGGTTTTTCAGTCAGACTTCATGCCCTGGGTCCCAGAAAACAGGCATCAGTGGAAAGATAATGAAATCAAAAGACCTGGATTTGAATCTCAGTTTTGTTACTGACTTGTGTTAACTTGGGGAAGTCCCTTTCCTCCCTCCAGCAAGCTCCTCCTGGCCCCTCTGGGTCACTATAAAATGAGGAGCATGATCCTACATGATCACTAAGGTCTTTTCCAGGGTCCAGCTAAGAAGGGAATAGAAGGAGAGGGCAGGCCGTTTCAGCCTTCACCTCTGTGAGGCTCTTTGACACTCCGGGCTCAGTTTCTCTCATCAAAGACCCTGTCCCAAGTAAGTGGAAGGAGAAGAGAGGTTTTTGACCTAGTAAATGAAGGTCTTTGAACTGTTGTCTTTAGTGCCTGAAGCAGGGTGCTAATGAGGGTAGCAGTCAGTACAACAGAAAGAGTCCTGGGCTGGGCATTAGAAGCTGACCTGGTTTCAAATCCTAGCCCCGCCACTGTCTGACCATAGGCAAGCCTCTTCCCCTCTCCAGGCCTCAATTTCTTCACCTAGAACTCATTTTCCCTGTCCTTCCTCGTGAAATTCAAATGAGGAAATAATGAGAGCTAATATTAATGTAAGGCTCCTTCACATACATAATGTCATCTTTACCACAGCCCTGTGAGGTAGGTACTATAAGCATGAATATCATCATTTTACAGAAATTGATTCTCAGAGGTTAAGTGACTTGCCCACCACCACAGAACTAATAAATGTGGCTGTGAGCATCAAACCTGGATTTGTCCTGACTCCAAATCCAATGCTCTTTCCACTAAATAGATAAAAAATGCTTTGCAAATTCTGTTAACAGTCACACCAGCCCAGACAGGTTCTGGTTCCCTCTAACACATTCCAAGGGCAGAAAAGAATGCAGATGGCTCCTCATCAACTCTCCATACTATGGGGCATGCCCTTTAAAAGAAAAAAAAAACAGCAGACTGATGTAGAGCTACCCCGAGATACTGGAAGTTTTGCGGGCTCAGGATGTCTAATTTTAAAAAGCGTTTGCCAGGGGGTTCCTCTTATGAATAACTACTAAAGCACATTGAAGTTTAGTTTATACATATACATTGGGCCCCCTGTCCCCCAACACACCCATCCAACAGGCGTACACAAAACCTGTTTTGAGGTAGAGCAATATGAGCTTGAGAGTTGACAAGGTGAAGCCCCAGGTATACTGGCCCAGCTTGGTCAGAGAGGAACAATAAAGGGGAAGTGCTCTGGAGATGATGGGGCTGTGCTCGAGAGATGGCGTGGGGCCATAGTTAGGGTTGGCATGGCTGGTTCAGAAGGTGGGCTATACTCTCTGGAGCGGTGGACTGGGAACCTGAAGGATCTTGGGGACTGAGACGCCTGGAGTGCAAGAAGAGCTCTCGGGCAAACACGGGCTCCACCTGGGAAGGAAGGGAAAGGAGGGAGGCATGGGGTAAGGAGGGCTGTGTCTGCTCTCCTGGCCCCTCCTGGCCATTACTCCTCTTCAGGTACCTAGTTTCTGGTTCCACCCACTGCATCTTCTTAGAGCACCCCACTTCCCTGCCCTCTCCCTCAATGCCTTAAGGACTGTGAAATTTGAGGAAGGGGGCATCCCCTGAGAAAGCACGGGCCTAAGAGGAGGGGGGAGGGCAGCTCTGATCTTGAAGTGGATAGAGTGCTGGACTTGGAGTCCAGAAGACCTTAGGCTAATCCTGCCACAAATACTTGCCGGCTGTTAGCCCCAACAATTCACTTAATCTCTCTCAGCCTTAGTTTCCTCATCTGTAAAGTGGGGCTTTAGCACCTTCATAGGGCTATTGTGAGGATCAAATGAGCTCAACCTATGTAAAGCACTTTGCAAAGCTTAAAGCTCTATATAAACACTATTTATATATTTCAGGAGGAGGGGACCCCGAGGCCTTCCAAGGGTGGGAGGTCACCTGCCCTCCTCTCTTCTCCAGCTATCCTCTAACCCTTCTACCTTCTTCATTCCCAAGCTCAGGGGCTCCCACAGGTCCTCTCAAAGACAGGAAGGGAGTCAGAGAGAAAAATAAAGAAAGAAAGACCGTAGTGAGGCCTTGGAGAGGTTTTGGTAAGTCATAGAAATGAGAGCTGGAGGGGACCACCTGAGAACACAGAAGACCAATGTTATAACTGGAAGGAACTTTAGAGATAATCTAGATTCTACCCCACAGCTCTTCCCCTTCCCTGACAGGTAAGCTTTCTCTCTGGGCCCAGGTTTCCCTGCTACTTCCCAGTAGCATCTACATCATACTTTCTCTCATTGTCCTTATCCTCCTCCCACTAGAACCCTATCCCTGGGTCCCCCACCTTTGGTATCTTGTTCAAAATCAGAAGGTATGGTTGTGTCATGGGTGGGATCCCCTGGTGCAGGGGGAGGGAAAGCACTGGATATAATAGGTCTGGCTGTCCCCTCCTCCCCAAACTCACGTGAGCCATGATGAGCCTTCCCTGGGACTGGCAACCTGGACCTGGGTACTCCTCTCCAAAGCACAGTTGGATCTGGTACTGGGGTGCTGGCTCCCCAAGACATAGGTGTCGATGCAGCTCTGTAAGGCACAAGGGAAGGGGTGGGTCCTGGTGACACCTAACTCCAACTCTTGGGCTGTGTCAGGATCCTAGACCTTGGCAAGAAGGAATGATGCCTGTCTTCCAGTGGTGGTCCAACCTGACTGCATTGAAGGTTTTTTTTTTTAAAAAAACACATTCTCTGCCTGCTTTTTTTGGAAACTGAGCTTAGGTAGCCTTGAGCCAGCCTATCCTACAGTTCCTGCCAATAGCAGTGCCCAGCCCCTGTGCTTGGCCCTGTCTATTGCCCTCAGACACTCATTCTTCATTTTTTTTTTTTTTTAGGCAGTTGGGGTTAAGTGACTTGCCCAGGGTCACACAGCTAGTAAGTGTCAAGTGTTTGGTCTGAAGCTGGATTTGAATTCAGGTCCTCCTGACTTCAGCGCCTGGTGCTGTATCCACAGCGCCACCTAGCTGTTCCTCTCATTCTTCATTCTTGATGATAGTAATAAAGTTCACATTTCTATAGAGTTTAACAGTTTATAAAACACTTTGCTCACAACAACTCAGTGAGGTAGGTGATCGAAGGGTCACTATTATGTCCACTGAGGCAGCCCAGGACTGTGGAAAAAGAGCTTCAGCTTTAACTTCAGAAGACCCAGGTTTGAGTCCTAGCTTGACCATTCAATAGTGGTGAGACTCTAGGCACATTCTTCTTTTTCTTTTTCTTCCACTAAATTCCTCTTTCTATTCTGGGTAAGTCACTCTACCTCTATCTGCCTTAATTTCCTTTATTGTAAAATGGGATAATAACACCTACCTCTCTGGGTTTTAGTGAGGATCAAGTGAGATATTTGCAAAGAACTTAGCTCAGTGCTTGGCACATAGTAAGCACTTAATAAATGCTTATTCCCTCCTCTTTTCATTCCTTGCTGTGGCAGGAAGGGGATGGGACCTTAGGTCCTACGAACAGCCACAATCGATGGCAGGTTCTGCCACATTAAAAAGGCTTCAGATTCCAGCGTCCAGATAGACTCTGTGTTTGTCTTCTACTGATTAGCCTAAGTGTGAAGAGGCTCATTAAGGGAATGTTGGCCACCAGAGTAAGACTTTTTTTTTCTTTTCCTTTCCTTTTTCTTTTTTCTTTCTTCCATTTTTTCTTTTCTTTCTTTCTCTTTTTTTGCTGTAGCAACTCGTAAAGTGGTCTACTAAATCATTAGCTAGGGATCAGGACATCATTATGTAAAATTCCTGAATAAGGAAATTCCCTTTACTAATACAGGCAGGCCCCTTCTCTGCAACTTAATGTCTTGGAGAGCTGCCTGAAGCACTGAGAGGTTAAGTGACTTTATCTGGGGTCATACAGCCAGTGGATATCAGAGGCAAGACTTGAACCCAGGTCTCTCTGGCTTCATGACTGACTCTCAGCCTATTATTTTTATATCTTGAAATCTTAGATTCTACCCCACAGTTCTTCCCCTTCCCTGACGGGTAAGCTTTCTCTTGGGCCCAGGTTTCCCCACTACTTCCCAGTAGTGTCTACATCATACTTTCTCTCATTGTCCTTTATCCTCCTCCCTCTAGAACCCTGTCCCTGAGTCCCCCACCTCTGATAGCTGAGTTTTCGCTTTATCTTGCCTGCAGTCTCAACACATAGCTCACTCTAGCCCTTTCCCTCACCTCCTCTATGTATTGTCTCCCCCCATTCAAATGTAAACTTCTTTAGAACATATAGTTAAATCTTAATGTTCTATCTATCCATCTATCTACCTACCTATCTAGCTCAGGTTTTTAACTTTCATGGACCCCTTTGGCAGTCTGGTGAAGCCTATGGGCCCCTTTTCAGAATAATGTTTGTAAATGCATAAAATAATGTGCATAGGATTACAAAGGAAACCAATTATATGAAATACAGTTATCAAAATATTTAAAAATAAATAAGTTCATGGATGACTAAATTAAAAACCCTTGATAATTGTTTTCTTTCTTATTCTTTCTTTTCTTCCTCCCTACCTTTATTTCTCCCTTACTCTTTCCCTCCCTCCCTTCCTTCCTTCT